CAATTTATTAGGTCATTTCAAAATCTACAATCTGATCAAGGTCAGCCTGCAGAGGTACTACTGGACATGACTTTCCTTGGGTCTCCAGATGGGTAGCTCTGCTCTCAGTCTGTAGAAAAGAGGGTCTAGGGCTATTTGAGTTTCTGTTGAGGGATAGAGTTCAGTAAGCCTGCCTCAGGAACTGAGAGGGATGCATCCCCAGGAGAATTCTGAGTAGAATTGCTCCTAAAACCACAGATGGGAAGGACTTCAAGGTTAAATCAGAACCTATTCTGGGACTAATATTGGCAATCCCAACCTGATGGCACCAGCAAGCAGAACTATGAGGAATTCCCTATTCAGACAAGATTGCTTGGCATGCTGCCACTTAGAGGCTGGAGGGAACATTCAAGGTCCTTTCTAGAACTTATGTATGTGAGATGAAGCCGGAAAACCTGTCCAGAGTCCAGACCTGCTTCCCAGTAGTTATCTGCTTAGGTAGGGCAGCTCGGGGGTTTAGAAGATAGGGATTGAGACTGAGACAGGAGCCACTAAGGGTCTGCTGTGAGACAAGACAAGCAAACCCATCTTGGTGCATCTCCCTCTGGGTCCTGGTGTGAGCTATGTTATGCGGAAACCATGACTGAGGGAGACTAGAGCTCAGGTACACAGTAACTTTTGGGTCTGCTGCTGAGATACATGTCAGGGGGCAGAGGAGCATGGCTGGGGCACTGGCGTGCACTAATTTCATCTTGGCAGATGGCTTTGGCTGAAGCCTCAAGGCCAAATGGAGCTGTAGCCAAGTACTTCGGGGAACAGCCATTTTTGAGTGTGACCTTGGGAGCAAACTTGGTAAACACTTGGGAGCAAAAACCTAGCTCCAGATCTGTACTCTCAAAACAGTCTCAGAAGTACGCTGGGATTTTACAACCTCCTAACTGAATTCAAAGGCTCGCACTAAGAGACTTTTGTTTGAAGATAGATGTAGAATTCTTGTTGTGAGGTGATAAAACGTGGTTGTTTTGGTACTCTGACATCTTTTTTTTTTTTGAAAGAGTTAGAGAAGGATGGAGGGATGGAGAGATGGAGGGAGAGAGTGAGAGTGAGAGAGATCTCCCATCTGCTGGTTCACTCCCCCAGATGGCCACAATGACTGAAGCTGAGCTGATCTGCAGCCAGGAGCTTCTTCTAGTCTCTCACACAGGTGAAGGGGCCCAAGAAATTTGGGGCATCCACTGCTGCTTTCCTAGGTGCATTAGCAGGGAGCTAGATTGGAAATGGAACAGCTGAGACTGGAATGGGCGCCCATATGGGATGCCGGCACTGCAGGTATTGGCTTTAACCTGTGTGACACAGCCAGCCCCAGTATTCTGCCATCTTGCTCATGCCATTCTCCATATTGTGATCTTAAAACAATAAATATTTGATCATCAAACCTTCTAGGTTGCAGTTTGTCGGTTTTCTAGGGATGCCATAACAAACTCCTGTAACTTTGGGTGTTTAAAGTGATAGAAATTAAATCTCACAGTTCTGAAGTCCAAATTCAAGGTGGTAGCAGAGTTGGTTCTTTCTGGAGGCTCTGAGGGAGACTCTGTTCTGTGCCTCTCTCCTCCCTTCCACTGGTGTGGGCAATTCTTGGTGGTGTTAGGCTAGTAGAGGCGTCACTTCCAGCTCTGTTTCTTTCTTCCCTCTGTGTCTGTCTCTGCATCTTCACTGGGGATTCTCTTCTCCACACTTCTCTTCTCGTAAGGACACCAGTCATTGGATTAAGGCACAGTGTAATCCAGTAGGACCTCTCTTTAATTTTATTATATCCACGAAGATCCTATTTCGAAATAAAGCCACACAAGGTTCCAGATGGACATACAGTGGGAGGGGGGCATTACTCAACCCAACACAAAGACCCTTCATTTAATAAATATTGAGCCCCTACTGTGTTTCTTGAGTCCCAAGCCCTTTTATGACTTCTCAGGCCTCAGGATAAATATGAATTTGCTCCTTTCTAGCCTAATGCCAGGCCTACTTTTTCCCTCAGATGTATCAAGGTCCTTGCTATATTGGCCCATGAGTTCCTTATCCTGGGCTTCTCCCACTTGTCTGTTATACTTTGGATATCAGCTCAGCTATCACCTTTCTGAGCCAAGTCCCCCTGTTATATTCTCATGGAATCCTGTTCCCTTCCTTTATAGATCTTATGAGAGTCTGTATTTTCTCCTTTATGCATGTGTTTAATATTTCTCTTCTTCCTGACATCATACACAGAGATCCCGTTTCCTTTACTTCACTATCACAATCCTGGAGTTAGGTCAATAAATATTTGTTGAAAAAGTGAACCCACACATGGCACTGAAACTGAGGATATCAAAAGAAAAGCCAGCATTGTTTACTAAGATATAGGTGGTAACTATGCATTGTTTACCTAATTTTTCTGTGTAGAATTCATGCCTGATATTCCTGATGAGGTGGTTGGCTAGACATTGTTCTGGTCATGAGTCTACCTGAGTTACAAACATGGACAAGAGACTACCTTGATTCCTCATTTACTCTCATTTCCCATATGATCACATCCTGGATATTTTGCATCCACAAAGTCTCTCAGTCTGTCGACTGCCCTCTGTTTTAGCTGTCGCTGGCCTCATAGAGATTTTCCCCATCTCTTGTCTCCAAATCAGTCTCCATGCTGGCTGTTCCTTGCAGATAACACTACCTCTCTCCAATCTACTTTGTCCACTCTAGGCATGTAAATATCTTTAAAACAAAGTTTTCAATAACTTGTTGTGCTAGTTTTGCAAGGCTTACAAAACCAAAGTACCACAAACTGAGTGGCTTAGACAACAGAACTTTGTTGTCCTATAGACCTGGGTGCTACAAGTCTGACATCGAGGAGTTGGCAAGGTTGGTTCCTTCTGAGGGACATGAGGGGAAGGTCTGTTCTGCCCCTCTTTCCTTGGTGTGTAGATGGCTGTCTTCTCCCCACCTCCCACACTATCTTCCCCTATGCATGGATGTCTCTGTCAACGTGCCTCTTTTTATAAGGACATCAGTCATGTTGGATCCGAGCCCACACTAATGACCTTATTCTCCAAAAACGGCCACATTATAAGGAATTAGGAGCTAGGAGCTCCCACAGATATATTTTTTAGGGTTCACAATTCACCCTGTAACAGTCCCTTTTGTGCTTGACATTACCTGCGAGGACAGCTCTTCGCTGTGGCTTCCTGGAATTCCCGTTAAGTGGCTCCAATGGGGCTCATCTCTCCCTGTTCTCCTTGGTCTCTTGCATGCAGTGCTCCAGGTGTAAAGGATTTCTTGCTTCTTCTTGCCTTAGGGACACCTATGTGCAAATGCTCATGCCACTTGCCTATTAGCCCTGGTGATCAGTCCCCACCCTCGGGCTAAGATTAGATATCACATCCTCTCAGAAGCCTGCCCTGATGCTCCGCTGTCAGTTCTGGACCAGGCACTCCTGTTGCACACTCAGCACAGACCTGAATCTCAGTATGCTGTCCTCCCTACAGACCGGTAGACGCCCAGTTATCAGGACTGTGTCTGGTTCCTCGTTACACCACCCAGCCTGGCATGGTGCCTGGAACATGAGTCTCTTGATAAAATACTGTCAGAATGAAAGAATGCCTATGCAATCATTCAGGATTCTGAACAGATAAAGGGAAGAAAGGCAGTCGATCTCAAATTGCTGTCCAAGAAGCAACAGTCCAGTTAATTCACTGTGGATGGAGCAGAGACCAACCAGGAGTGGGAGGAACCCTCTCTCCTTGAAAGGACTTTGCAATTTCTTATTGCTTCAGCTTTAAAGCCCAACTCATAGGAGCTCTGGGATGGAGAAACTCTTAGAGCCCTTGTAGTGGAAACTCCTCATTTTTTAAAGAAGGGGACAATTGAAGCTGGATGGAAGGAAGGACTTTCGTTACTGTTCCGGTTTCAATATGATCTGGCCCCCAGGACGCATATGTTAATGGTACCAACAGTGGCTTAGAGGTGGAGCTTTGGAAAGTTATGAGGTTAGATGAGGTCATTAGGGTAGAGTCCCATAATTGAATTCTGCTGGCCTTATTTTTTATTTTTATTTATTTATTTATTTTTTTGACAGGCAGAGTGGACAGAGAGAGAGAGACAGAGAAAGGTCTTCCTTTGCCATTGGTTCACCCTCCAATGGCTGCCGCGGCTGGCGCGCTGCGGCCGGCGCACCGCGCTGATCCGATGGCAGGAGCCAGGTGCTTCTTCTGGTCTCCCATGGGGTGCAGGGCCCAAGGACTTGGGCCATCCTCCACTGCACTCCTGGGCCACAGCAGAGAGCTGGACTGGAAGAGGGGCAACTGGGACAGAATCCGGCGCCCTGACTGGGACTAGAACCCGGTGTGCCGGCGCCGCAAGGCGGAGGATTAGCCTAGTGAGCCACGGCGCCGGCATTGAATTCTGCTGGCCTTATAAGGAGAGAGCATGTAGAGATAAACAGACACGTGCACTCCCTGTCTCTTGCCATGTGATGCTCTGTACTACCTTGGGACTCTGTCGGCAAGAAATCTTCACCAGGGGCCGGTGTTGTGGCCCAGTGGGTTACGCCACTGCGTGCAGATCTGACGTTGCACATCAGAGCTCCTGTTCCAGTCCCAACTAACTGCTTCTGATTCAGCTCCCTGCGGATGCACCTGGGATAGCAATGGCAGATGGCCCAGCTCCTTGGAGGGCTGTACCCTTGTGAGAGACCTGGTTGGAGTTCCTGCCTCCTGGCTGCAGTCTGTTTCAGCCTCAGTTGTTGTCTGTGTCCACCCCCTCCCCCAGCCCATCACTCTGCCTTCCAAATAAATAACTCTTTAAAAACAAAACAAAAGAAGTCTTCACCGGAGGCAGAACTAACTCTTCCTGCTTGACATGGACTGCAACCCTCAAGAACCATGAGCCAACATAAACCTCTTTTATTTATAAAACCAGGCTGCCTCAGGCATTTTATTTCAGCAGTGCAAAGCTGACTAATATAATTGTTATGCCATTTTTATTGTTAGAGGCTTGTTGACTTCTCCCTGAGAAGAGGAATGCTTGCCTGTTATACGGAAGTCATATTGATGGAAAACAAGACAACGGACTCGGGTCTGCTCTCCAGGTGTGTGGTCCTGCCCCTCTCCAGGTAAGTGATCTCGAAAGTTACTTAATCTGCCTGTGACACACAGTCTCTCCATCTGTAAAAAGGGGACGAAGGGAGTACTTATCTCCTAGAGCTATTTTGAGAACTCAAGGAACAAAAGCATGTTCATTGAGTGGCAGGTGGCCAGTGTCCCTATGCAAACATTAGCTGTTTATATGCCAAGGAAGAGGAAAGTGTTTCAGAAAAGCAACCAACCAGTTGTTACATGTTGGAAGTCTGCCTAACCTGCAGTTAGGTCAAACAGAAACTGGAGGCTCAGTCACACTGACCACCCACTCTTCCTTGTACACATAGGTAGTGTTGTTGGGTTAGTTTGGACAATAACACGTGGATAATCTCCTGACCCACTGATACCTTTATCAAATCACTCAAAATGATTTTTTTCTCAGGTTAGATGAGCACTTTGAAATTCCCTGTTCTTGCAAGGCAGGCAGCGAGGAAACCCGATGGTGAAAGGTAACACATCTGCTTTGGTTTGGACGTGGTTTGTCTCCTCTGTAACTCATGTGGGAATTTGGCCCCCAGTGTGATGCTACTGAGAGGTGGTGGGAAGACGAAGAGGTTTTTGGGTCAGTGATGCCCTGCTCATGGGCGAGGGTTCACGGGAGGACGCCTGCCCCTGCAGAACCGGATGAGTTGCTCTAAGAGCAGGTTGTTGTAAAGCGAGGTTGACCCTTCCTGTGTTCTGTCTCCCCTGCATGTGCTCACTTGTCCTGCTTTTCTGACCCAAGATGAAGCAGTACAAGGCCTCTGCCAATTGCCAGTGCCATGCCCTTGAACTATGAGCCAAAATAAACTCCTTTCCCTTATAAATTACCCATCCTTGGGTATTCTGCTATAGCAACAGAACATACACAGAGACAACATCGCCCATTGCAGCGGCACCCTGGGCTTTCAACTCTCCTCTGCCCATCCTTCTTTGCCCACAAACAGTTCACAGTGGAACGTGGATGGTCACGGGGGATGAGCCCGATTCCCTCAGCTAGGGCATTGCACCACATCTGGGCTCTCTCTGGCTTTTACATCTTTGATAACATTTCACTTATTTATTTGGGAGGGAATGTGGGAGGGAAAGCAAGCAAGCTCTCATTCACGGGTTCACTCCCCAAATGCTTGCAATGGCCAGGACTGGGCTGAGCTGAGCCTGAGAGCCAGGAACTCAATCCAGGTCTCTCGTGTGGGTGGTAATTACCTGAGCCGCCGTTGCTGCCTCCCAAGGGGCTGCATTAGCAGGAAAGTAGATTTAGGAGCTGGAGCCTTCTGAACCCACATACTCCAGTGTGGGGCATGGGTATTTTAACTGGAGTCTTGGCTGTCAGGCTGAATGCTTATCCCCACTTTTATGTCTTGATGACCATGTGGCTCTCTGTAGGATATATTTCTATACGTTGGTTTTCTATGCATCTGCCTTTTGTCAATTACCATGTAACCAACAGGCAATCAACAAACACATCAAGCGTGTTGAATCACTACATAGCAGACTTAGTATACTCTTCCATAGTCTTTGAATTATTGTTGCAAGGAATGAAACAGAGACAAATCCTCAGGTTTTCTTGAGGCAGAAGAAGAGATGATAGTCTACCTGTTAATTTGTTTCTTGCAGCTTATCCTCAGATTTGTCAACACTTCTTTGCCATGTATTTCTTAGGCATTTAAAAAACAATTCTTTAAAAATATTTTTAAATTTTTTATTTGTATTTGTCTTTGAGAAATAATTATATATATTTATAGGGTACCATGTGATATTTTGATACATGGATGCTTTGTGGAATGATCAGATAAGGCTAATTAACCTATTCCATCACCTCCAGCACTCATTTCATACTGAAAGCATTTAAAACATGTAACTCTGGGAGCTTTCTTGAAATACACAACTGCTGTCACCATGCTGTGCAGTTGATCACCAGACCCTCACTGTCTCACTGAAACTTTATACCCTTTGATCAACATCTCCTCTGCTTCTGCCCACACCTGCTCCTCCAGCCTCTGGTATCCACCTTTCTCCTCTCTCGCCTCTCTGAGTTTGACTTGCTTAGATTTCACTTGTGTTCTCATAACTGATGTAGCGATTAAAAGTTGTTACTCAGTGCACTCTGGGTTCCATCGGGTCTGGAGGCATAATTACACTTCATACACTAAGGAATAAGGTTTATACTAACTCGGGCTCCACATTTCACTGTGGAGTGCTGCCATCTGTCTCCCATGGGAATGATCCATGGTGGCTCATTGATTCAAACTCTCGTCAGCTGAATCAGAAAAGCCTATGCTTCCGTCTCCTTGCGGATACTGTGGCTCTGAGAGAGTAGCAGTAAGTTCAGCTTACCAGTGACATGCTATAGTGAGCGCTGGCCATAGCAGTCCCACAAAAGTGCCTGCCTTTGCCTGAGCTTGCAGCACAAGCCACTGCTATTTAACGCTTCTTGTTTGTTTAGATAGATTGGCTGGTATTGCTATCAACATGGCAATTATTCCTTGCTCGGTGGACGTATGTCCACATGCCTGGAGTTATTGACAAGCAAGATGCTGAGTCAGTTTAGTAAAATGCATAATCCATCCAACGACTGCGTCATCTTTCTGGGCCAAATGCCAAGTCCAGCTAGTTCCTGGAAGAAGACTCCCTCTAGTGAACACTTAGACCACACTGGGAGTCTCCAGGAAAGTCACATTGTCTTAATTAACTTTCGCTTTGTAATCCTCTTGAAATATGGTAACAAATGTCCACCGACTCAATGGTTTCCCTTTAAGATGGTCTTTGCTATCCTAAGCACCTTCTGTGTCCATTCAGATTTTAGAAGTGGCTATTAATTTCCATAACATCATGCTCCATTTGCTAATTTTTTATCTTATAAGCTTTTAATTTTATAATAGTATTAGATTTATAGAAAAGTTGCAAAGATATTGCAGGGATCATCTATATGCCCCTCACGGATTTTTTCCATTGTTTACATCTTACCAAGGTTCGTTGTTACAGCTGAAGGACCAGTATTAGCATGCTACTGTTTCTCGCCAGTGTCATTCTCCTGGGCAGTGCCTCCTATGTTTAGTAGTCAGTTCTCACTAGTCTGCTTTCTTCTGTGGCACTTTCTCAGCCTTTCCTAGCTTTTGATGACCTTGGTGGTTTTTAGGGGGTGACTGTCTTGCTGTTTGTGTGGCTGATTTTTTTCATGGTTTTTTTGAAGGATGACCACAGAGATGAAGTGTTATTTTCATTGTGTTATAATAAGTGTACGTGTTATCAACGTGATTATTAACATGAGGATGTTAACCTTGATCAACTGACTGAGAAAGCTTTTTCATGTTTGCATTTTGATTGGGATTATATTACATCTATGGGTAAATTTGAAGAGACCTAACATCTTAATCTTGTGTTTATTTTAATCGATAAACATGAACTGTACATATTTATAGTGCACAGTATGATTTTTTGAATATGTATGTATTTTTGGAGTGGCTAAATCAAGCTAATTAACATATTCTTTATTTTTTTAAAATTTATTTGATGGGTAGTTATAGACAGTGAGAGAGAGAGAGACAGAGAGAAAGGTCTTCCTTCCATTGGTTCACTCCCCAGTGACTGCTACGGCCGGCGCTGTGCTGATCTGAAGCCAGGAGCCAGGTGCTTCTTCCTGGTCTCCCATGCAGGTGCAGGGACCCAAGGACTTGGGCCATCCTCCACTGCCCTCCCAGGCCACAGCAGAGAGCTGGAATGGAAGAGGAGCAGCCAGGACTAGAACCTGGCACTCATATGGGATACAGGCACTGCAGGCGGAGGATTAACCAAGTGAGCCATGGTGCCGGCCCCAATTAACATATTCTTTACCTCACAAATTTATTTTTTTTTTAAATTTATTTATTTATTTAATTTTTTTACAGGCAGAGTGGACAGTGAGAGAGAGAGAGAGACAGAGAAAAAGGTCTTCCTTTACCGTTGGTTTACCCTCCAATGGCCGCTGCAGTCGGCACATTGCACTGATCCGAAGCTGGGAGCCAGGTGCTTCTCTTGATCTCCCACACGGGTGCAGGGCCCAAGCACTTGGGCCATCCTCCACTGCCTTCTCGGGCCACAGCAGAGAGCTGGACTGGAAGAGGAGCAACCGGGACAGAATCCGGTGCCCCAACTGGGACTAGAACCTGGTGTGCTGGCGCCGCAAGGTGGAGGATTAGCCTATTGTTTCGCGGTGCCGGCCTATTCTTTTTTTTTTTTTTTTTTTTTTTTTTTTTTGAAAGAGTTACACACAGAGAGAAAAGGCAGGGAGCGAGAAAGAGGACTTCCACCTGCTGGATCACTCCCCAATTGGCTGCAGCGGCTAGAGCTGGGCCGATCCAAAGCCAGGAGCCAGGAGCTTCTTCCAGGTCTCCCATACAGGTGCAGGGGTCCCAGGATTTGAGCCATCTTCTACTGCTTTTCCAAGTCACAGCAGAGAGCTGGATTGGAAGTGGAGCAGCTGAGACTTGAACTGGCGCCCATATGGGATGCCAGCACTGCAGGCAGTGGCTTTACCTGTTACACCACAGCACCGGCCCCACAAACTTATTCTTAATTTGTAGTGAGAACACTTAAAACATACATGCTTGGCAATTTTTTTAAAGTCAGAAACCTCCTGCCAAAGCAGCCTGGAGGGGGAGCTCTAAAAGAGACAAACCCATTGACCTACACAGGTCTGAGTCTTTTAAATACATCTGAGGGAAAGAAAAAGAACAGCAGTTAACAATCAGAACAGGGGACAAAACCCGTCAAAAGGCCAGATTTGCAATCTCGTCTGTTCTGTCTAGCTTGCTTGTGATAAAGCAAAAAACAAAACAAAACAAAACAAAACAACAACAAAAAAAACCAAAGAAGATGGGATTGGTGCCTTCTGTTTTCACAGTAAACTGGGAAGGGTGTCCTCACCACTCCTTTGCTGTCCTCATGATCTTTCTCTCTCTCTCTCTTTTTTTTTTTTGTTTGATTTTTAAATCTCAGCTCCCACATTAAAGGAGAA